TTCACCCAAACTAATTAGCTATTTCTTTAATTGTATTAAAGTGTATTACAAACACTATTTTTTTATATTAGTATTTTTTTTTTCTTTACCTTTCTCTTTTCTTTCATCTTTTTTCTTTTCTTCTCTTTTTTTTTTTCCTTTTTCTTTTCCCCTTATCCGATTTCCTCCATTATTGATGTCTTCTCCATTTTCATCACCAATTTCACTTGACAAAACTCATAAATTCCAATTACTAAGAAAATTCTCCCATAAGGTAATCAAGTTCCAATTTCACTGACCCTCTAAATAAATAAAATTAAATTATTTCAAAAATTATGGTTTAAACTTTAAAATAATAAAAACAACTCAACCTTTAACAATACTCAAAAGACCAAAATATTTAAATTATTTCCAGAAAGATAATTTAATGATTAAAAGCCTAGAGTTCAAGTTGTAGTGTTTTAAATTTGAGTTGTTAGTCTTTTTTTATCTGGACATTTTTTTTTATTAACTATGTAAATTAGGGGTGTATATGGAACGGGTTGGTTCGATTTTTTATCAAAATCAAACCAAACCAATTATATCGGTTTGGTTTGTTCGGTTTTGTTGGATTTTCAGATTTTTTATTACATAAATATTATTTCAATCTTACTTTGTTAAATTTTTTAGAACTAAATATATGTTCAGTAAAAATTAAAAAATTAAAAAACATATGATCTATAAAAATATTCTTATGGGAGAATTTTTTTAGTAATTGGAATTTATGAGTTTTGTCAAGTGAAATTGGTGATGAAAATGGAGAAAACATCAGTAATGGAGGAAATCGGATAAGGGAGAAAGAAAAAGGAAACAAAAAAAGAGAAGAAAAGAAAAAAGATGAAAGAAAAGAGAAAGGTAAAGAAAAAAAGTACTAATAAAAAGAAAATTGTGTTTGTAATACACTTTAATACAATTAACGAAAGAGCTAATTAGTTTGGGTGGATTCCGTTTCGAAAAGGACATATATGGGCATACTGTGTAACTTTAAGGGCATATATGGACCAACTATGTGACGGTAAGGGTATATTTGAGCTAAAATATTAACGAAGGGCAAATGTGCTCAATTTCGTATAGTATAAGAACATATTTGGACATTTTCCGTAAGTTCTTAAAAAGTTTTCTTTCCCTTTCCCTTGCCCCACCTTCTACACAGACTCCCCATGTTGGAAAAATTAAAAAGAAAAGAGAGAGAAAAAAGAGTCGATTTGGATTATATTTTAATTTATCTCATGTACCGAAGAACAAGTTTTAAATTACTCAACGACGTTATCTACTTTTAATCTTTAATCCCATGTTCTAAGCTCCCATTTTGCCATAAAATTTGGTAGTTTTTTTTTTTCAAATTTTGTTTTCAAATATATGTTTGTTTATAGATTTTAACCATTTTTAGTAGATTTAGAAAACAAAATCTTCAAATCCCAAAACAGCTCTAGAATAGTTTTTGAAGTTATCTAGTCACAAAATTTCAAATTCTTTTCAAATAAAATGTACGTCCAAACACAATTTTAATTTTTAAAAATTATTTTTTATTTTATTTTCAAAACTCATTTTATCGATGTACAAACGCTAGCTAAAAGTATTAACAATGTTTTTACTTTTTCTTCACGTGACCGGAACTTTTAACTTAACGATGAGCTCATCTTCGTGTCTTCTGTAACTTTCTTTTACTGTCATTATTTAGGCTCCCACCCCGAAAATGAAAAAAAAATAGAAATCCCAATTAGGTTAGTTATGCAAAGGTTATTATGAGCAAAGCGATTTGACAATACTACATCTAAAATCATGACGGAAAAAACAATTACATTCATAAGAATGTTGAGTATTGTGCAAGAACTGTGTTTACATGATGTTTTTATAGGGGATTAGCCTTACGACTACTGATCTCATAACTTTTAATACGAAATATAAATTTATATTTAAAAACTTTACTAAAATCTTAACAAGTATTCGATTTGAATCCATAATTTTAACAACATGAGTTCAATGCTAAAATACTTAAAAAGTGAACCTATTAAATTTAAATCCTGAATCTGTCACTGAATTTTACTTTGACCTTAAACGATCTCTTCTCTCCTGTTTCTGTGCAACTTTGCACATAAAATAGATGGACTATTGATATCTCAGGGTCTAAAACTTACTAGCAAACTGCTACGCTTTTTATTATTGTCTTATTAATTTCAGTACAAAATGAGCAAGGTTTAAACAAATTCACCACACAGTGATGAAATAATGTCTTCATCTTATGATCGCGTTGGAAAAACATTAACGAGTTGATTTTTAAAACTTCTTAAATATTGACACATAACAATGGATATTTTGAAAATACTCATCAAGTGAACAAATCAGAACTGAAAAAATAACAATGTTACTTAATATTTAAGAAGTATGTCACTGTCCCTTCCTTTCTTAATGAACTCAACAAATTTGCATCGTTTTAATTAGAAAATTGGCCTAGGAAATTTCATAAAATTGCCTTTATTTTTATCTTCCATATCTCCTTTAATAATTTTCCATTTCTTCATCCAAAAAGCGACTATTTTGTTGGATACTTGCCCATCACTTTTTTGTTATAAAAAAGATTGAAGTCTGTCAAAGTATCTAATTTATGTGAAGTCATATGTTGCTTTCGTAATTTGTCTTTTAAAAATGAATCGACACATTCGGTAAGTAAAGTAATTACCACAGATCATGATTTCTTTAATTTTAAATATTTAGAAAGTACCTAAAACTCGCGGTTCAAGAAAAATTGTCCATTCCCTACATACGTAATATTGTCATGTAAAATGAAATTAGATGCAGCAGTAGTAGTGTATTATTACCTAGTGCATGTGAGCTCCTAAATTTTTATCGTGTTTGAATATTTTCCGCTCACATCTTTCCAGACATGTCCCCACTTCACTTTCATTTGTGCCCATGCTTCTCCCCCCACACTTTGCTCTTTACTCCACTCTCCATTGTTCTCCACTCCTTGTCCTCCGTGCTTGTCTCCTATCACAAACCTCATACCCCATTTTCAGCTATAAAACACACACATACACAAAAAAAAAAAGAGGACTGAGCAACAAACGAAAAAAAAAGAAAGAAAGAAGTAAAAAAAAATCGAAGTTCTGAATTTAAAAGAGGCGATTTAGCCTCAAGCCACTGATCGGTTCAGATGTTTACTGTCGGATTTATACTGCTGAGCTCCAACCAGCTGTGTTTTTTTGCCTTTATTTGGTTTAAATTTGGTCCTTGCACCATTGGGTATGTCCTCCCTAAACTTGTACTTTTTCAGATTTGGATAATATGAAGGTTCATGTTTTGCTTTACTGATTATCTTTTAATTTATGTCTTTGGATTGATGAATGTGAGCCTAATAGTTTAATAGTTCAATAATTTTCTTTTCAAGTCTATTTGATGCTACAACATTTGGTTAAGTTCTGTTGGTTAGGTCTTCATTTGCTAAATACAGATTATACTTCATCTTACTCATGTTTCATATTTTAGTTTAAATATTTACTTTTAGTTGGGTGAGCACACTGTATCGATTTTAGCTTCTGAGATTTGTTCGAAAGCTTTCTTTTCTAAAGATTTCATGAGTTGGGTTATATTCTATTGATTTGCTTATGGTATAGAAAGATGCTAATTGTAATTTTGTGAGGAGCATTCACTATTCATGTCTTTGGATTGCCAATATTAAGATGAGAATTAATTTAGGCGTTGCTAATACAGAAGGTCATATAGCATGAATAAGAAGAATTTTAGTAAACTTTAAGCACAGCTTTGAGTTGAAATTTTGATTAAGTAGGTTTAAAATCATTAGTGTTGCTCATAAAAACTAGAGTTCATCAGTATCTTCCATAATAATTATTTATTCTTAACGCACGTGTCCTCACAATAATCTCAAATTAGTTTAGGATAATATCTTTGAACATTCGTAGTTGCTTTAGGCGCGCTTTAATAGATTATCGTGGTTATTTTATACGTTCGCGTGACGTAACTATGATCCCAAAATAAATCAAGGTACGCGTCCGCAAAACTTTGACCAAAAACATTCTTATATAATAAAATGTTATTAATTGTGTACACGTACACGTAACATGATTGTGGCACAATAAATAAAATGGATTCACACACCTAATTCGTGTAAAAAATAATACTATATTCTAATGATTGAAAGCAGATAGATAAAATATGAAAACCAATAAATCACAGTTTATCCAAAAATAATATAAGCCAAATATAGTCAATAAAGCGACCGTGCTAGAGCCACGGGACTCGGGGAGTGCTTTACACCTTCTCCCCGGTCAACAGAATTCCTTACCCGGACTTTATTTTCGCAGACCAATAATAATAGAGTCAAATCTTCCTTTGACTAGGGATTCAAATAAAAGGTGACTTGGAACACCCCAAAACTCAATTCCAAGTGGCGACTCTATAAATAAAATAATTCCTAATCAAATTTGTCACTTTAATTGAAAAAATTCTTTAACCCACCATCCATAATACATATTTAATTTTTGTGGGGGGTAAAAAGGGGTGTGATAGTGCAAAATTGCAGTTTTAGCCCTGTAATTCCCAAAAGGAACACCAAAATTATTTTAGCATAATAAGTGTGATATTATTGGAATAGTATTACTTTTGTTTATTTGACCACCAAGTTGCATTAGGCTGAATAGGACCTATCTAAAGAGCACTTCCTTTTTCAACTAGCTTTGCGCGTCACAAATATGAATTAATGTATTCCAGTACCGAACACCATATAGTAAACAAAATAATTATTTATCTCTCTATATATTTTAAAATCATATTAAATTTTTATATCATCAATATTTTACTAGATTATAGTACGTTATTTGCTTTATTTTAAAATTTAAGTTAAATTTATTATAGATAAAGATAGTTAGATACTGTTGCAGGTTAAATTAACCAAGTGGTATAAATTACAATGTCCGTGTAAAATTAGATTTTAATCTTTTCTTTCTAAAAAGTGAAAATGCTTCAAAACCCCAAAGCCCATAGGAGTGCCTAAAGAAATAGAGCTAATACTATAAACCTTATCGTCTACTCTATCTATCTCCCCTCCTCTCTGCACCAAAACCCCTCTTTGTTGTTCTCTCCACAGAGAACTTCCCCTATCTCTTACTATCTTTTTTTACTTTATCCCTTCAATTGAGAAGCGAGGAGTTGTTGACGGTATGGACTCCAAAGAAGAAGCGACGTCGTTTCCACCTCTAGTCTCTTCTCCTCCTCCTCCAGGTTCTTCTCCTATCAACAATTCCTCCTCTTCTCTTGATTCCCAAATTCAAAATAACGTTGCAAACACTGATACCGAAATTAATAATAATAATAATAGTTATAATAGTAACGGCGTTGGTGATGATGGAACACTTGTGAGTGGTGGTCAGCAAGAAAAGATTGTTACGGGCTCTGAAAAGCCCGTTCTTGCTGACCCAGATGAGAAAACCCTAGCAAAATCCGTTGGTGAAGAGCAGCCCAATGATTCTGCGGAAATTTCGATGCTGAAGTCAGTGAAGCCTGTTTCTGAGGTTTCTATGATTGATGGTGTCGAAAAAGTTGATAAAGTTGAGGTTTTGGGGGGAGAAAATGGTGAAAGGGTTATGTTGAATGAGGATTCTGGTGGGGTTGGTGGATATGCTGGTGATTCTGTGGGTATGGGAATCGAGGTTTCGGAGGGAAATACTGAAGAATTAAACTCAGTTGATGAGTCGAATTCCATTGAGCAGGTGAAAGAAAGTGGTGGTGAGATTGCAGTAGGTACAGAATTGAAAGGTGGTGAGGATAGTTCCACTCAAGCGGAGGTGAAGGAAACTGAGGAGAATGGAAAGGATGAAGCTTTAACTAGTGTTGCTTCATCTAATTTAAAAGGAGCTGAGGAACCTGATAAGGTGGTCGTTGAAGAGAGTGCTATTTATAGTGATGATGCCGAAAAACCCAATAAAGCGGTTGTTGAACCGACAGAGTCTTTGTTCGTTGGAGCAGATGGTGAGAAATTTACTCCAGAAGGAGATGCGGTTGTGGATGCTATTGATGTCAATGTCAATGTGTCAGCACCAGGCGTTGCTGTTGTGGGAGATGTGGAAGAGAGTGCTATTCCTAGTGATGATGCCGCAAAACCCAATAAGGAGGTTGTTGAACCGTCGGAGTCTTTGTTGGTTGGAGCAGATGGTGAGAAATTTACTCCGGATGGAGATGCAGTTGTGGATGCTATTGATGTCAATGTCAATGTGTCTGCGCCAGGGGTTGCTGTTGTTGGAGATGTGGAAGAGAGTAAAGTGAATGTGGCAGCGCCAGGGGTTGCTGTTGTTGGAGATGTGGACGAGAGTGAAGTGAATGTGTCTGCGCCAGGGGTTGCTGTCGTTGGAGATGTGGAAGAGAGTGAGGTGAATGTGTCAGGGTCAGGGGTTGTTGCTGGAGATGTGGAAGAGAGCAAGGAAGTGGAACAACATGTTGAAAGTACTATTGACGTGTCAGAGTCTTTGTTGGTTGGAGCAGATGGTGAGAAATTTACTTCGGAGGGAGATGCAGTTGTGGATGCTATTGATGTCAACGTCTCAGGGCTAGGGGTTGCTGTTGTCGGAGATGTGGAAGAGAGCAAGGAAGTGGACGAACATGTGGAAGGTACTGCTGATGAGAATGTGACATCAGTAAATGGTGTTGGTGAGACCAGACAACTTATTGAAGAAGTGGCTAATATGACAGTTGATGAAGTAGATGTTCAGAACTCTAAGCCTGCGGTGGATGATAATGTTGCAGCTGCAGAATCCAAGCCTGTGGATAACATTGTTGGTGCTGGAAGTGATGGAAAACTAGATGCTGGAGATGTTCAGACTGGTGATGCGGTAGCTGCTACCGAGGAAATCAAAGAAGCAGATCCTGAAAGTGGTAATAAAAGTCCGGACGTGAAGGATGTCGAAAAGGAACCTGAGCAGGCAGTGTCTGAAACTATTTATGCCAACGGTGACCTTTCCGAAGGAAGCATTGAGGGAGATGTAGTGGAAGCTGAAGTCTCAGGTCAGTCATCTGCCATATCAAGGTCAATCAGTGGCTCACAGCAAATACTGGAAGCAGATGGAGAAGCTAAAGATCAAATAGATGAAGAAGCTGAGCTTGAAGGCTCAATTTCAGATGGAGAGACAGACGGTATGATCTTTGGAAGCTCTGAAGCTGCCAGACAGTTTATTGAAGAGCTGGAAAGGGAATCCGGTGGTGATTCCTATACTGGTGCTGAGGCTTCACATGATCATTCACAGGAAATTGATGGTCAGATCGTCACCGACTCAGATGAGGAGGCTGATACTGATGAAGAAGGAGATGGGAAGGAGTTGTTCGATTCAGCTGCCTTAGCTGCCCTTTTAAAAGCAGCAACAGGTGCTGATTCTGATGGTGGAAACATCACAATCACGTCTCAAGATGGGTCAAGGCTATTCTCTGTTGAACGACCTGCTGGTCTTGGGTCATCACTCCGGTCGCTGAGGCCAGCTCCCCAACCAAACCGCCCCAATCTTTTTACTCCTTCCAGTCTTCAGAATAGTGGAGAATCTGAGAATAACTTGAGTGAAGAAGAAAAGAAGAAACTGGAGAAATTACAGCAGATTAGGGTCAAGTTTTTGAGGCTTATTCACAGGTTAGGGCTTTCTTCTGATGAGTCCATAGCTGCTCAAGTATTGTACCGGCTGGCACTTATTGCACGAAGGCAAAACAGTCCACTTTTCAGCCTGGAGGCTGCCAAGATGAGAGCTCTCCAGCTTGAAGCAGAGGGGGAAGATGATTTGGACTTTTCTGTGAATATCCAGGTTATTGGAAAATCAGGAGTGGGTAAGAGCGCTACCATAAATTCGATCTTTGGAGAAGAAAAAACTCCAATTAATGCATTTGGACCAGCTACCACCAGTGTGAAAGAGATTAGTGGTGTTGTAGAGGGTGTTAAGATTCGGGTATTTGATACACCCGGTCTCAAGTCCTCTGTGATGGAACAGAGTTTCAACCGCAGTGTCTTGTCTTCAGCAAAGAAGTTTACTAAGAAGAACCCCCCTGATATTTTCCTCTACGTTGATCGACTAGATGCCCAAACTAGAGATCTCAATGATCTTCCTATGCTGAAGACTGTCACAAGTTGTCTTGGTCCTTCAGTATGGCGAAGTGCCATAGTCACCCTCACACATGGAGCTTCTGCACCTCCAGATGGACCTTCAGGCTCCCCTTTAAGTTATGAGGTGTTTGTTACTCAAAGGTCTCATGTTGTTCAGCAGTCTATTGGTCAAGCAGTAGGCGATTTACGAATGATGAGTCCAAGTTTGATTAACCCTGTTTCTCTGGTAGAGAATCATCCATCTTGTAGGAAGAATAGGGAAGGGCAGAAGATACTACCTAATGGCCAGAGCTGGAGGCCTCAATTACTGCTGTTATGCTACTCAATGAAGATCTTGTCTGAAGCAAGTGCACTTTCAAAGCCTGAAGATCCATTCGATCACCGTAAGCTCTTTGGTTTCCGCACACGCTCACCACCTCTCCCCTACATGCTGTCCTCAATGCTGCAGTCACGTGCACATCCCAAGCTTTCCGCTGAGCAGGGTGGTGATAATGGTGATTCAGACATTGACTTGGATGATTTGTCAGACTCTGATAAAGAAGAAGAAGAGGATGAGTACGACCAGCTTCCTCCGTTTAAGCCTCTTCGGAAGGCTCAACTCGCTAAGCTCAGCAAAGAACAGAGGAAGGCGTATTTTGAGGAGTACGACTATAGGGTCAAGCTCCTTCAGAAGAAGCAGTGGAGAGAAGAGTTGAGAAGAATGAGAGAAATGAAAAATAACAAGGGAAAAGAGGCGGCAATTGAGTATGGTTATGCAGAGGAAGAAGCTGATACAGGGGCAGCAGCTCCTGTAGCAGTTCCCCTACCCGACATGGTCCTCCCTCCTTCTTTTGATAGTGATAATCCTGCCTACAGGTACCGCTTTTTGGAGCCCACTTCACAGTTTCTTGCAAGGCCTGTCCTGGACACGCATGGTTGGGATCATGATTGTGGTTATGATGGTGTTAACGTGGAACAGAGTTTAGCCATTGCAAGTCGTTTCCCTGCTGCAGTTACTGTCCAAATCACCAAAGATAAGAAAGATTTCAGTATCAATTTGGACTCTTCTATTTCTGCTAAGCATGGAGATAATGGATCCACCATGGCTGGCTTTGATATTCAAAGCATAGGAAAGCAACTTGCATATATTGTCAGGGGAGAAACCAAATTCAAAATTTTGAAGAAGAACAAAACTGCTGGTGGAATTTCTGTCACATTTTTAGGTGAAAATGTGGTTACCGGACTTAAAGTTGAAGACCAGATCACCCTAGGCAAGCAATACGTTCTAGTTGGCAGCGCTGGCACTGTTCGATCTCAGAGTGACACAGCTTATGGTGCCAACTTTGAACTGCAGAGAAGGGAGGCAGATTTTCCAATTGGTCAGGTGCAATCTACATTGTCTATGTCTGTCATAAAGTGGAGAGGTGATTTGGCTCTAGGATTCAACAGTATGGCGCAATTCGCGGTTGGGCGTAATTCTAAGGTAGCTGTTCGAGCAGGAATCAATAACAAGCTCAGTGGGCAAATAACTGTGAGGACAAGCAGTTCAGACCACCTCTCTCTTGCACTTTCTGCTATAATTCCAACTGCAATTGGCATCTACAGGAAACTTTGGCCTGATTCTGGCGAGAAGTACTCGATCTACTAAATTTCATTTTCATTTCAGCATTTTTGGTTAATTGAACTTTGTAATGGCGTATTATCTTGTCATTCTATTGAATAATGCTTCTGTCATTTATCCATTCATGTAGGATTCCTACTCGTATCAGTTTTGCGTGATTAAATGTGCTCTTTTACAAGATGAAATCAAGAGGTTCGTGTTGCTTAAATGCTCTTTGTTAGTTGTGTTACCTTTTGTTTTGAAGAAAGCAATTTAAGTAGTTGTGTTACCTTCTTTTTTCGTTTACTGATACGAGTTTATTCTGCTTTCAAATGTTGTCATTTAATTTGCTTTTATTCAACAACGTCCTAGAAAGAGGGTCCCAAAGGACATGACAAAGAGCATCCTTGATTCTTTTGATATTTATAAGATGTTAATTGGTCAAAGTGACACTTTTTGAGTGGTCATGTTACAAGGTCCAATATTTCAGGATAACTTGGTTAGGTCTTCGAGCCTTGTATATTTGTGACTTATTCTGGGTAACAGTGAGGGAGGGAGACATTTTAGATGCATTTTGTTACAGAAGGCTTTTTTTAAATTTTTTCCAAAACCGAGTTTGCAAATTCAAGCAGCACTGTTTTCCATTTTCTCACATTACAAGCAGCACTGTTTTCTATTTTCTTTTTACTTTTTAATTACTACTTTAGGGTAGGGGGGAAAGGGATGTTACCTTTACCGATGGGTTTTGAACCCTTCACCTCAATGGGATGAAGTACACAAATAACCCTAAAAGTAGATGATCTTGAATTTTTGTTTCCGCTTGCTCAATTGGTAGAACTTCAAGTTTAACAAGTGTTGTCTCTCGCTTGCCCCATGAGCAACACTTTTAACTTTTGAGCTTGAAGTGAATCAAAATCGGGTTTCTACTTGGCGAAGCTAAGATTAATTGAGAAATATTATTGTTCGAAACTTAAAAAAGCCGTCTCTGTTCTTTCAGGATTAAGTAATGACTAATAAATGAATCTCGGCCTAACTCAACTCTAAAAGCTAGTTCATGATACGAGGATTGCCCAAGTCCCTCATTCCTTAGCCAATGTTGAAGCATGAGTAATATAATATGAGGTCCAACAATGGTACAAAGAATCCGACTCTAATACCATGACAAGGAAATGAACCATAGAATTCTTTGAGCCATAAAAGGAGACCAAATTCCCCATTCCTTAGCCGATGTGAGAGACCCAACAAATATTCCAATAGTACCTAATTGTCAAACCTTCTCTGTTTTTGGAACAAGTGATGATAATCACTGAACGAAATCTAAATTCCCACTAATGCTAAAACTTAAAAACAATATGTTACGAGAAGGCAAAAATCCCAGTGACGAAGCTTCTTGACGTTCTAGGACGCTCACGAGACTAATATGTCCCATGTTCAACCAGTGGCGCTTTGTTCCTTGGAATGTTTGCTAGATAAACTCTAAAACCTCTAAATTCTTATATTTTGTTCAAGTATTAGATTAAAACTTGATATAATATGGTTTTGTTCCATAATCTAAAATATGGTGATTTAGAATATTATTGAACATGTACTTTGTTAAATTCCAGAGCGTAAATTTGTTGGAGCTCGCCCATTCCTCCTAGCTAACGTCTCACCCCATGATAAGTAAAACGCTCTGTCCTGCACCCATCCTTTTAAACACTGCTTAAGACCCTAAAACAGACGAAATAACCAGTTACTCAGTGGAATTTCAGAAGCAAGAAATATGAGCAACTAATACAGTATATGAAGGAATTAAACAAATGGCTTAAAGATAACAATTACTACTTTTTTTCACTACAGATAATAATGTAGGTAACAAACAAGGCCAAAGTTATTAACCCAGCGGTCCATTAAAGCCCAACGGGCCATCCTCCAGTCCACCCGTACTGACATACTGAAAACAATTAAAGAAACGCAAAAATGGTCATTGCGCCAAGGTAACAGAGCCGTCATTAATGGAAACGGAATGCCCGTTCTCCGCGGCAGCGCCGCCTTCGAACACCTTCGCGATCCTCTCCAGAGGAATAATCGGAAAATAATACGCCGCCGCGTAGCCTCTCTCCGACGCATACGCTACAGCTTGATTGTATTTCTCGCTCCAATAAGCAGCTGTCGGCACCAAAATCTGAGCCACTTGAGGGAACAGCGGAAGCCTGTTCAAAGACCGCCAAGCCGAAACCGCATTCTTCTCTGCTAGTGGCTCGTACTTTTCGTATAACTCTTTGGCTGTAGGTTCGTACTTTTTGTAAAGCGCTTTGGCTACGCTGCTCGCCGTGTCAACCAAGCCATCACGCTGTACCTCGCCGGCGAGATCTCGAGCTAATTCAGGAGCCTTCTGAGCCAGCAACAGAGCTTGGCATGACGTCTGCTTCAGTAAATAAGGTACATGGCGATCTACTTCGTTCATCAAATCTTCAACCTGCATATTTCGTCACTCGCTGATCAGATAACAATCCGTTTAAAATATTTGATACTTTTAGGCGGAATTTGTTTGTGGATTCACAGATTCGAGCTTCCAAGTTAACATTTCATATAAAATTGAAAGCAAAGTTCGAAATCAAAACTTAAAAGACAAAATTCAAGTCGAAGTTGTGATTTGAAGCTATATTTCAACTATTCAACTCCCACTCCCAAAATTTTCTATCTTCCACAATTTTTTTTGAACTTCAACTTCTAATACAAGTCTGAACATTGAGAATTTTCCAGATTCAAACAATGTTTTTTTAATATTTTAATAAGACAAAAGCGCAAATTATACTAGTATTTTTCCTTAAGTTCTAAATATATTTGTCTAAAATTTAATTTGAAAAATGAATCAATTTAGTCCAATTTAATTTTGAAAATCAATTAATTTTTCACTTTATAATGAAAAAGTGCCAAATGAATTGAAACAAGAAAAAAAAAAATACTTTGTACACGCTGCCCATACGCACCCTATTCAATTTGCCCATACGCATCCTATTCAATTTGCCCATACGTACCCATACTTTGTACAACCTGACCATACTTTCACTTTATAATGAAAAAGTGTCAAATGAGTATTTATATTTTAAGAATATGAAACCTTGAAGTCGACGAACTTGAGGAGATCGAAAGGCACGTCGTGGAATTTTTCGTAAATGGGTCCGATGACGGTTTTAACAGTGGTTTCTACAGCTTCGACACCAGGTTTCAGTGGCCCGGAGTTTCCTTTAGCGTATTCGTACAAAGTGGAGAAGCAAACTATCACATAGATCGCTGTAACTTGAACGAAATCCAGATATTTGAGTTTCCTCTCATCCTCTGCAACCTTCAATTATAAACAATTAGACACAAAGTTAAATTTCTGAATCTCAGCATATGGTTTGCGATTGACATGTGAAAACACAGCTACATTTAAGAATGAACGTACCGGGAAAAAGGAAAAGGCAACTGAGTATACTACTCTACTTATGCGACATGCATAAATTAATCTGTTAGAGAAACCTTTGTTCATAAGGATTCATTTAGGATGTGTTAAGAAAGTAAAATTTGGGCCAATTCAATTTCAAAAGCTTACTCATGAGATAAAAATTGTCAGGTCCGTTTAAGAAGGCAATAATGCATTTCCTCAATTACTAGTATGAGATAATTTAACACATCTAGCACGTTTAGATCTGAACGTATAAGGTGTGGACAACATAACATGAGGCTTTGAGATTTCAATAAATTTGACTCTAGCACAAAATGAACATTGGCCTGACTTAATCCCAATTTTTCAAAAGTTATCTCGTGAGTCGAAAATTGTTGAAAACTATATAAGAAGATAACAAATCAATCACTAAATGTAAGACAATAAAAAATAGTGGTGGTCGTATGCAAGTACTGCCTAAATAAATACAAATTAGAGAAAATACGAAAGTACGAAACTATAAGTTTGTTATGGCGTTGGGGAGAGTAGACGAAAAAGGCATGGTGTACTTACTGCATCAGTAGGTGGCTTGGCTGCTGCGTCGGCCATGGTGCAGAAAATGGGATGGAGAAAACTTGCCCCTATTTTTGGAGTTGCACAAGACAAGGAAGCTTCGAAAAGAGAGGTTGTTACCAAGTCCTTTTTATAGCCGGCAAGCCCGGGACATGATCGTGTGCGGAGAACTCGATGAATAATTACCGTATGAAAACATCCTACCTTTGAGGAAGGTTACTCTTCAGTAAGTACGTTATTCTCACGTGATTGGCTAGCTGTTCCCACATCTTGACAGAGTCACGCATATTCCCCTTGATTACTTAAAATCTTTGTTTACCAATTGATATATTTAAATTTATCTGGATCTGATTCGGTGTACTACTGTCTTTTAGCAAGATTCAGTTTAGCTTCTCTAGACTTGAAATTGAATCCATTTGCTATTATTCTTTTCCTAAATTCCATTTACCCTAATGATTTCACGAGTTGAAATGGATATGCAACTGAATGTCTGTAGCATGTTGCCATTTGTATCCGAGTTCGTCTCATTTAGTTTAATGTTTTTCTTTTGGTAAGAAAATGTAGACATGATACCCCCAAAAACAACAAGACTAACGCGAGACTCCTATAGAAGTATGAAAAACCAGGAACCTAAGCCATTCATTAGGAATTTAGGGCTGCAAGAATAATAGCCCGTTTGGACAAGCTTTAAAAATCAGTATTCTTTTTTCAAAAGTACTTAGTACTTTTGGTGAGAAGCAGTTTGTGCTTGATAATTAATTTGAAAAGCACTTCTGAGCAGCAATTAGTATTTGGCCAAGCTTTTAAAAACTTCTTCTAAGTGTATTTTTCTCAAAAGTACTTTTCAAAAAAGTGTTTTTTGAAGATAAACTACTTTTTCTAATTCTCCAAAACTACTTCTGCTTCTTCTCAAAAGTATTTTTTTTTCTTCCAAAAATTTGGCCAAACACTTCAACTTTGAAAAAAAAAGTACCGTTTCTAGAATTGAAAAAGATTGGCCAAATAGGCTATAAGTGAACTGAGACATAAAATTTATTCAGAAGTTTGCTTCTTGATGAAAACGAGAGACCAAAATTTGATCGAAGAAACTCATGGCTTGAGCAATAGTGCTGATGAGACCCGCAAGAGCACAATTCTGCTTAATCATGTCAAAGCCACTTTATTGTCACATTCTACCCGCAAGTGTTTGATACCCGTAGATAAAACCAAATTGATACTATGGTAATTGCTAACACATACAAATTTCA